GGTCTGAAAAAATGGGAAGCTCTCAGCACACTGATCCACATTGCAGCCTGGCAACAATCAGCAGGACTGGGTAGTCACTGCCCCTCTTCAGGTGGGGTCTGTGTCCTCCAGGTGGCCAGACTGCCCTGCCTGGCCTGGTGCCTGTGCATTCTGTGTGTGAGAGCTCTGGTCTCGTCCTTCCTCACCCTCATTCCACACACATCCATTGTATAATGGGAAAGTGATGGCTTTGTAATGGCTAGGCTGAACTACATTTCCCCGAACTCCCTTACTTTTCTGTTTCACATTAGGGTGAGCCACAAGGCATGTTCTTGCCCGATTTGGAAGGAAGGAACCATTTGGGTTGCTGATCTGCTGATTTACCTCCTTGGTGTGAAGCAGCCCCTGGGCCTGCAATTACTCTACTTTGCCTGGATTCTCCTTCAGTTTTACTGACTCCTGGGCCAGGTGTGTGCATGGTTAGCTGTGTGACAAAGGGTCTCAACTTCTGCAGGATACCCTCATCACCAAGGTCAAAGGCAACAAGCACCAACACAAGTGTCAGTCCATCCTGGTGTTCCAGCTTGTGCCGGTGGTGTTTCAGCCTGCTCATGTTCTTCCCCTCCTGACTGTGCACCTCAGATTCCAGCATCAGTCAAAAAGATTCAGACTTACAGAAACTGCTGCGATTGTATGTCAATTTTAAAGTAAAATAGCCAGTTAGCAGCAAAAGGAGTTGATTCAGGAATAACCAGAGGAATTGCAATTCAGGAAATGCAAGCTAAGGCAGACGGTAGGCAAATCAGAGAACAAAGGTGGAGAGCTTGCTTTTATAGAGAAAAAGGGGGAGTTGGGAGGGGCTGTTCTAAAGGAAAGGTCATTGGAGGAAAGTAAGAGTTCAGGGTGGTGACAGCTTTTCATTGGCTCAGCTGTTGCTGGGCAAGGAGAAAACCTTCCTTCCTCCTGCTGGAGTAGTAAAGTAGTTTCACTTCCTGCCCAAAATTGTAAAGTGAGAAGATATGTGTGTCAGTTTCCCTTAGAGGGTTTCCTGACTCCGTTTTAAATGAGGTTTCCCTTTATTGTCACATGTACGAGCCAGTTTCCTGTAACCAGTCCAGTATTTAGGTGTATATGTGCCTATATCCTTCTGGGTCTGCTTCTCCCTTGAACTCTGACTGACATGGGAACTTGAACACCTGCTGACTTTTCCTGCCTCATGTCCTGTCAGTCTACTTGCTGCTTTCACCATTCCCCAATTCAAGAGCTTTTCCCCTACTTTTTTCCTGCCCTCCCTTTTTCCCTACCCGAGAGCCTGTGCCAGTGCTGCTCCAGCCTGGAATGTCCCTACCCCAAAGCTGCTGGTTTATCTGTCCTCAGGCACGTGGCTGAGCTCCTCGAGAACAGGGAGTAGGTGTGATAGGTCCCCATCCCTGCTTCTGCTCAACCAGGATGTGCTGAATGAATGACTGTGGACTAGGCCCTTGACGTAGGAGATTTCATTCCTTTCTCAGAATACCTCTGCAAGTATCACTGCCCTCATTTGCAAGTGCAAGTGGCCCCAGTAGCAGTTGCTGTGGAAAGAACCAAGGCCTCTTGGCTGCCTCATGACTGGTGGAGCTGCCAGAACAGCTAATGTGCCCTCTGGCCACATCACCCAAGGTCTGATGCCTGGGACAGAGAGATGTCAGTACCCCTTGTGCCCAACAGGTTGTGTGCTCAGTGCTAAGCCCGGCCGTGGCAGAGGACAGGTTCAGCTAGGTTGGTGCACGAGAGTCAGTTGGGTGCAGACCCCATTCTATGAGTCGCTAAAGCTGCACAGCCTGGAAAAGGGCCTTTCCAGTGGCTGCAGGGCTGTCTCAGGGCCAGGGAGAAGTCGGATCTAGGGACCCAGAAGGTAGACCTGAGATCCTGAGGGGGTTCACAGGGAGGTAGGTCCCAGTTCCATGACAGGAAGGAGGCAGTATTGCAGGAGGAGAGAGTGCTATTCCCAGGGGGGTGTGAGGGATGGAGGTAGGAAAACCTGGAGACCCTGGTCAGAGGCTCTGTGTTCAGATGCTCTCTGGTTAGATGAAAAAATAAACCTTTCTTGGCTCCATTTATAGATGAGGAAATTAAGGCTTGGGGAGAACACTCTTGCCCCAGACCAAAAGACCATGGTGGAGCCAGGCCCAGAACCCTGATATCAGCCTCCAGGGCCTGGTCCCGCTTGACCCCTCTCCTGATCAGTGGGCAGAGAGGTGTCCAGGCCTGGCCCATTGCTATGCCCCTATTTTACAGACAATCAAATGCACCTGGTCCTTTCCTTCCTCACTGCACCAGGGTCACCTCCTCCAGGAAGCCTTCCTCGTGGGCCTCGCGGTGTCATGTGCCGCCAATGTTCACCTGGAATGAGGCTTCTTAAGGCCAAGTCCAAGAGACACAGTAAGTAAATGGTGATTCCTGGGCTCTGCAGCCCCATGCAGGAGCTGAGTGTGATGTCAGGGCAGGAAATACAGCCTCCTAGTCTCAGCAATCACACCAGTAGGATGAGCTTTTGAACACCTTCCTTACTGGGGCTGAACACCTTCCTTTGAGATGAGGCCTGTGCAGCCTTCCTCAGAGTGCGTGACACACACTTAGTGCTCACGTGGGGCTGCTTACGGGCATCGGTTCTTTAGCTTGTGGTGGGACCCACCTAGAGAGGTGCAGTTTTGCTAAACAGTCTGAGCAAGCAGGGAAGAGAGGAGGGGAGGGGCCTGTGGGTAGATAGTGGGACACTGGGAGAGTGGTTTCCGAGGAGAGCAGTTTGAAGGGATGACTAGGTCTGAGATGTAAACATGGGAGGGTAAAGTGAGTCAAAGGAGAGACTAGATTACAAATAACAGAAACCCAGCTCAAACCAGCTTATGCAAAAACCAATGTATCAGGTCACATGACACTCAGGTATAAGGTCTCTTCAGGCATGGGTGGATCTGGAGGCTCGATTAATGTCCTTAGGTATCTTTCTCTCCATTTCTTGGTTCCAACTCTGTCTCTTTGCTCTTTTTCCAGGTGGGCTCTCCCTATGTGTTGACAAAGATGGCCACTGGCAACTGTGGCCCCATGTCCCTACCCTTTTAGTGATCCTGAGGGAGAGAGCACCTCTTTCTCAGTAGTTCCAGGAAAAGTCCCAGGATTGACTCTCATTGAAGCCACTGGAGTCAAGAACTCATTTTTGACCCAGTCATTGTAGCAAATTGAATAACCAACTGAATGCTCATTAGCCAGGTCTTTGATTCATGACCATCCCTGGGACTGGAGGGGTCAGACTCCCAGAACCATGTGGCCTGAGTAGGGTGGGTTGGGACCCCAGAGGAAAATTAAAGTGCTCTTCATTATCAGAAGAGTGGGAGGCCCCACTGAGGGCTGGCCCACTGGGTGGTCCAGCGCGTCTGGAGGAGGCAGGCCTTGGGGGAGGAAACAGCGAGCTAGCCCAAGTCTTCAAGGAATGGAGAGGGGGTGACAAGAGAGAGGTGAGGGGCAGCAGCAGCAAAGTGGGAGGCCACTGGAAGAGCCAAGTGGTCTGAGTAGCAAAGGTGGATTTTGGTGGGAAATATGGAAAGGCAATGCTGAACAAGCATGACCTGAAGGACATTTTGGAGCCCTGGAGCTCAGGGATGTCCTCAAAGGGCCGTCAGTCAGCAGGGTGGGGGGCTTTGGTTAGGGAGGGCTCAGAGAAAGGGGTGAAGGTCAGTGTGAATGGTTGGGCAGGAAGGAGCAGTGTCCACGTGCCCAGGTCCCCTGCAGCAGCGCTGCCCAACCCTCTCTGAACCTCACAGCCACCTGAGAGATGGTCAGAAAGCCAAGTCTCAGGCCCCAGCCTCAGACTCTAACTTGGAAAACTGGGGTGAGTCCAGGTGGCATCTGGGCTTGGGTTTCTGGTTTAGAATGGGATAGAATCTGTGGGATCACATTTAGGTGGTCCAGAGCACCATCCCCCAGAATCCTGAGTAGGCCAAGGTCTCTCATGGCCTCTACCTGCAGGTGGCCTATTGACTGGCCCCGCAGGCCGTGTGGGACAAGACCTGTGCTGGCACAGGCCCACTGCCCCCCAGTCAAAACTGCAAAGGAGATGAAGCTGTTAGTGATCAGCATGTGGCCGGGACATAGGCTGCCAGGATGGGTAGAGCTGTCACCCGTTGTCCACCATAGTCCCTCTGTGTCCAACCTAGGCCTCCTCCTGCCTGCTTTCTGGATGCCCACTGTTGCCCAGAACCAAAACATCCACAGCAAAGTCTGGCATCGCCATTTCCTCCTTTGCTGTAGCCAGTGCCTCCTGCCGCCATCAGCCACGGGTCTCCACATTCAGGGCCCCATCTGAACTTTTGCCTAGAGAGCAGTGATGTGCTGAGGGGGGCATCTGTGACGTGTCTCCCCCACTGGCTGGGGGGGTTGGGCAGGGAAGGCACTTGCGCTGGTTTTGTCCACTGCCCTGTCGTCTGGGCCCAGCACACAGCAGGGCAGGTAAGACTCACACTGGCACCTGGCCCTGCAGTTAGTTCGCTGAGGCAGCAAGCAGTGAGGAGCGCCCAGCAGGATGTGAAGAGACCTGAAGAGGGACTAGAGTGGCCACTTGCTGTGTGTGGGAAGGGGCCAGCAGGGAGGTAGGTGGGTGATGGGTCTGCTCTGTGACCCCACCAGAGATGTGCCAGGGAGGGATAGTAGCTGCCAGGTCTGGGTCAGGGGTACTAGCAGGCCAGGGGCTCTTCTCCAGTGGTGCTCCCTGCCCTCCCTACTCCTCCCCCAAGCTATTGCCCTTCCCCTCATCACCTGTAGTTTCTTACACAGGGATCAAAAGAGATCCCCTGCAGGGGCTGGCCCCCTGGCCGTGGCCGAGTGGTTAAGTTTGCGCGCTCCGCTGCAGGCGGCCCAGTATTTCGTTGGTTCGAATCCTGGGCGCGGACATGGCACTGCTCATCAAACCACGCTGAGGCAGCGTCCCACATGCCACAACTAGAAGGACCCACAACAAAGAATATACAACTATGTACTGGGGGGCTTTGGGGAGAAAAAGGAAAAAAAAAAATAAAATCTTAAAAAAAAAAAAAAATCCCCTGCATCTCTCACTAACCCCAGCCCAGGCTTGCCCAGCTGGGTACCACGTACATACCCACTGTTTTTGGGCTTTTTGTGTGTATGAGGAAGATTGGCCCTGAGCTAGCATCTGTTGCCAATTCTCCTCCTTTTGCTTGAGGAAGACTGTCGCTGAGCTAACATCTGTGGCAGCCTTCCTCTATTTCTTTTATGTGGGATGCCACCACAGGGCAGCTTGATGAGTGGAGCTAGGTTGGCACACATGATCTGGCAAACCCAGGGCTGCCAAAGCCAGCCTGCAAATTCAATCCCTATGCCACCAGGCTGGCCCCCAGGGTCCTCCTTCTTTTGCTGACTTGTCTTTTCATAGAACATCTGTCAGAAGAGGCCTCAGCTTAGTGCCCAGATGGCTTAACTAGCCCATATGCTGGACACCAGGGTGTCCCAGGGCTGAGGGTCATTTTTCCCTGGCGAGCCAGGGCCGGGGGCTTCCACATTTCCACTATGTTTGCCACATCAACACAAAGTCTCACCGAATTCAGAATAACTAACTGCAAAGGTCCAGCCTGGTGTGACCTTGTAAGAGCTGAGGGGCCCTGACCAGTAAACCCCAAAAGCCACCGCTCCCCCCACCCCATGGCCGGTGGATCCTTGTCAGGGATCTTATCAGCCTCTCTCCAGCACCTTTCCACCTCTGCTCACGGGAGATGGACCCATCCTGATGCTCCTTCCGGGATCAACCGGCCGCCCCCTCCCCCGCAATTTCCTCCCCTTGCGGACGATTCCAGGCTCCAGGCCTACCCCCCTAACAGATCCGGGGTGACGAGGACCCCTGGGGTCCACCTGCCAACCCAAGCTACGCGCCTACCACGCCCATTCCTACTCCACTTAGAGGAAAAGGAGAGCAGTTCAAAGGTTTAAAGAATTTATTGTGCTCCCGCAAAAGCTGACCGGATGGAAGGAGGCGCCCGGCAGTCACGCGCCCCGAGCGACTGTTCCCCTCGCACCCAAAGGCGGGGGCGGGTGGGGAGCTGGAAAGGGCGGCGCGGAGACAGTGGCGCCGGCCAGGATGGGGGGGCCGGGGTGCTGCCTCCGCCATTGGCGTCTAGGGGCTGGTAACCATGGCAACGGCCGTTGAAGGCGAGAGCCAATAGGGGCTTTGCCCGGGCTGTTTCAAAAATCTAAAGCAAAGGACAAAAAACGCTACAACGGCGGGGGATGGGAGGGATGAAGAGGGGATGGAGCGGCCCGAGCCCCTCCCTGCGGCTCAGAACAGGCGCCGCGGCCCCGGCCGGGTTAAACGCACAACACCTCCAGACGGTTGGAGTAGAAAAACCGAACCGTAGAGAGACCCAGCTCGCTGGCGGTGATGGGATCTTCGTCGCCCCGCCTCACCGGAGTTCATCCTCCCGCCCCGCATCTGACCCCATTCCCACCCACTGTAGTCCAGATTGCAGTCCACAGATGGGACCCAGAGTGCGCACCTCTCGTCACCCAGTAAGGCTGCCACCGGGATGGTGGTGCTGGTGGCAGCTGGGTCAGCGGCTGGGGCGGAATCGGCAGCGGTGGAGGTGGTGGCGGCAGCTACCTAGAGATCTGAAACCTCGGGGCCTAAGGAGAGGAAGGCGGACACGCTGGCCCCGGTCTCCCATCAGTCCTCCTCTCCCCTCCCTGCGTCTGGGAGCCCAGCTTCCGGGAGTTGAAGCCGGCTACCAAGTGCGCATGCGCGGGAAAGAGAGCCTCTGGCCTCGCCAAGACCGCTGTGGTTGCTTAGCACCGTGGTTGCCAGGTTCTGAGCGAGCCCGAGCGTTCTCTGGTGGTGGACAGATGCCGGCACAGGCTGTTTCTGCTGCTTTAGTGGCAGGCTGTTGCCTGTTTTCTCCAGTGGGTCCTTCAGAAGTGAGGGAGAAGGGAAGAAAGTGTGGATAGATTTTTGGTGTGAAGCTGCGGTGCAGGCCATCTTCAGTCTGTGTCAAAATGACCTTGCAACCCAACACCTCAAGACTGAAGATGCCAGCTGGACAGATCCTCAATAGGAAAAGGTAAAGTGGTACCTCGCGCTCACATTTCACAGCTGCATTTATTAGAGATTAGGGGAATAATTAACGACCACGGTCCTTGCCTCCCTCTGCACATGGATAACATCAGGGTCTCTGAACTTGTTTGATGTATAACCAAGAACTTCTTGCTTATGTTACATTCAATGTATAATCTAGAGAAAAGCCCAGATGTACTCTCCCCTTTTTTTTTTGAAATCTTGTAAGTTTTTCTTTTTTCCTTTTCCCTGCATGTACACCGTTTTCTTAAAGAGCAAGTACACTTAAATTCACACACCTCACAGAGGTTCCATCAGAGCACTCCGTTGAACTATTTTCCAAGGATTTGAAGACCTCATGCTAATTGTTGAATAAACTCCATCACTAATATCACTGCGACTATTTATTTCAGTCGATAAAAGTGAAAAGAAAGAGGGCCGGCCCAGTGGCGCAGCGGTTAAGTTCGCACCTTCTGCTTCTCCGTGGCCCGGGGTTCGCTGGCCTGGATCCCGGGTGTAGACATGGCACCGCTTGGCATGCCATGCTGTGGTAGGCGTCCCACATATAAAGTAGAGGAAGATGGGCACGCATATTAGCTCAGGGACAGTCTTCCTCAGCAAAAAGAGGAAGATTGGCAGTAGTTAGCTCAGGGCTAATCTTCCTCAAAAAAAAAAAAAAGAAAGATGGATAGATAGATGAATGGGTGGTTGAGGCTCCCAAGAGTGGGGGATGGCCAGTCAGGGGCCTGGCTGACTCAGTAGGATCAGGAGACGAGCATGGGTATCGCTTCCTCACATCAGCCTTGATGGTATGCCTGGGACTGTCTGCAGAAGGGTCTGTTGAGTGACCCCAAGAAGGGACAACCTGTGTGCTTCTGGGTGGCTTTGTTCACTCAAGGGCTTTGGCAACTGGAGCCGCAGCCCAAGCCAGTGGAGCTGCCGGTCTGAGTGCAGAGGTGAGGCTTGCCCTCTGGGCCTAGGCACCCTGCAGTCCCCATTCCTTCCAGTCACCTTGTTGCTGAGTTGCTATGTTTCACTGCGTGGCTGAGTGTGAACTGTTTTTCTTCCTTGAAGTCTCTTCTGGGTTTTCTTGAGGTGCACCTGGCTTGCTGATGGCTTCAGACTGGCAGCTGTAGGACGCCCAAGTCCATCCTGAGAGGCACCTTTTCAAACATAAGGACACGAGAGGACCTGATCAGGAACTCATTTTACAGTTGGAGGAAAAAGGCCAAAAGAAGTCAGAGAAGGTCCTCAGGACTCTAGTATGGCCACCCTACCACTACCCTTCCCCCAATGCTCCAATCATCCCTAAGCCTGCTCCCATGATCAAGAAGAGGAGAGTCGCTTCGGGACTGACTGCAGGACCGACTCCCCTGCAGACTTTATGGTCTACTCGCCCCTGACCCATGGCCAGTTGAGCGGTGTGTTTTGGCCTACCAGCACTTCATCTTCTGGCTTCCACTCTTTTCCCTGGGAAGTCCGACGCTGGGGGCTGAGTGCGGTGTTGGCCTCGCGGGGGTGGGAGTTGTTCGGTACCAGGGTTTTTCCTCGGAAAGCCCTTTCTCTCTCTCTCTCTTTTTTGCTTTGTCGACCCTGTCTCCAACCTTCTCAGACTTTGGGTGGGCACTCTGCATGTTTCCTCTTGGGTCCTGGATAGGATATTCTCCATCGTGACCCCTCTGGGGGTTCTTCTTGCGGTCCAAAGCCTGGCTGGGGTCATCGTGGTCAGTCTGGGGATCTCCAGAGTCTGCCTCAGAAACACTCTCTGCATCTAGTCTTGCCGCCTCCCAAGGCCGCAGGTGTGCGATGCGATCTTTCTGTCCCCTGTGCTTGCCTTGGCTCTTCACTCTCTCGCGTGATCCAGTGCTCCTCCGCTTGGCTGCACTCGTTCAATCCCCGTGGGTTCACTTTTCCTTCCGCGGCGCCTCTCCTGTTCCTCAACCCTTCTGCTCAGCCCGTGGCTTTTGTTCTGCTTGTGTCACGGACCCCTCTTTTCCAATTCCAATTGGCTTGGTTTGTTTTTTCAACTCAGAAGAGAGACTGACCTGTCAAGACCGAGCACTTCCTTTCCGAGTCTCGCCCCGGTGTCTTTCCCGGACGCTCGTCCCTCCCCCTGCACCCCTCCAGGAGCCTGTCTTTCGGCATCATTCACGTCAAGGACAACGCGCCGCTTTTCCCTCCGACAACTTTGGGTGGGTGTCCCGGGAGGTGGGGTGCTGCCCTCGCCACCACTTGGAACACGATGGGAGGGGCCCGAGCCCCCGAAAGGCCTGGAGAAGACCCTTCCTCACCATCACACGAGCCTAGAAGAGACTGCTTCTCCAAAGGGGATCCTCTGAGGACGGCTAGAGCCCTTTCAGGGTGATCCCCACCGTGGAGGGGACAGAGGCCTGATAGGAGAATGCCCATCCGTGGCCCAAGCGCCCACCGAGGGTCTATGCCTGGTCTAGGTCTCCACGGCCAGCTCCTCGACGGCCATGCCCAGGTACCACCTGAGGGCAGGTGGTGCTTTTCAGGAGGGGCGACAGGCTGGGCGGGGTGGCTTTCGACACCTTCCTGGAAGGCCCTAGGAGAGGCAGGGACCCGTGGCTGTGACCCCAGGGCATAGGCCTCCTCTGCCCACGTCTAGGGGAGTCCCTGGTCCCTGGGTCGGTTGATGTTGTGGTTGACCTGACCGTCCCTTGGAGCGGGACTCGGGGGATCTTCAGGCCCCCCCCCACACACACTGCATCTCACCCCTCCCTACCCCCCATCTGACCCCACAGCCACCCACTACGGTCCCGATTCGGGTCCACAGAGGGGCCCTGCGTGCCCGGGTCTCGACACCCGGGAAGGCTGCCACCAGGGTGGCGGTGATGGTGGCAGTTGGGGCAGAGGCCGGGGCGGCGGGTGGCAGTGGTGGGGGTCACGGCAGCGGTGGAGGCAGCCGCCCAGAGATCGGCGATCTCCGGGACCTTAGGAGGGGATGGGGGAGGTGCCCTGCACGCCTTCCCCTCTCCCTTCCTTCCTTCTCTCCCCAGGCCCCGCCACCCACCCCCTCCGGGACCCCAGCTTCCTTGTGTGGAAGACCGACAATCCCCTATGCATGTGCTGGCCACTGGCCCTCTCTCGCCTTGCAGTGCCAGCTCCCTTTGCTAAGGGCCTTGACCCCGAGGTTCTGAGGCATTGAATTCACCCTCCGGCGGTGGCTCTGTGCAGGGACCGCCTGTTGCTGCTGCCCTCCTGAGTCTGCTGTCTTATGTTTTCCCTTGGTTACTTCCTCTACTTTTCAATGAAGAACATTGTTTGTAATGTAACATCTGGGTAATAGTCCTCTATTTTGTATGTGGGACTCTGCCACAGCATGGCTCTTCGAGTGGTGTGTTGGTGTGTGCCTGTGTTCTAAGCTCACCAACCCTGGGCCGCCAAAATGGATCATACGATCTTAATTACTATATCACTGGGCTGCCCCCCTCCTTGCTTTTTACCTTCCTTTCATCTGTCCAATTATCTGAAGGTCTCACTGGGAATCATAGGCCACAGCCACCTCACTAAAGCACCTGCCACATCCTGTGCCTGCACCTATGCTCCGCCAGAGGGCACTCCTCCTTCCTCATAGCCTCCTGGTTATGTTACTTAGCAATGGTGGTGGTCCTTGTGAGACGAGAGGGCCTCTAGCCTGCACATGTACCATTGGACTTGGCTTCAACTTCAGGAAGATGGGCTCCTGGAAAGGAGAGTGGGTGCAGAACTGAGAGTTGAGGGGAGGTGACGAGTGCCTTCCAGTAATCAGAAAGCACCCCCCACCCAGTCACCCCACATCCAAAACCACCACCTTTCCAGGTAGTATCTCTGCATGACCAGAGAGGACCTCACTGTGGAGATACATCTCAGGCCTAGAGTGTTGGTGGGCACTTGGTTCCCTGGACAGGCTGTTGTCACCTCCACAGTGGGGACAATCTTGAAAGGGCTCTAGCCATTCTCAAAGGAGGCAGGTTGATGAAGCATTCTTCCTGGCCCCTGTGATTGTCAGTAACAGTTTCCTCAAAGGCCGTCCAGGCTCTGTCCCCTCCCACTCTATATTCCAAGTTCTGGTGACAGCAGCACCCCACCTCCAGGGACGTCCACCAAAAGTCATCACACCCCAAACGGCAAAGTGGTGGCCTTTTATTTGATGTGAATTGTGCCAAAAGACAGGTTCGTGGATAGGTATAGGGGAGGTTCAAACATCAGTTCAGTCATAGGTAAAAGACACAGAAGGGAAATACTTAGTCTGGGCAGGGTAGGAAATCTCTTTTCTGGGTTTAAAAACCAAGTGAACAAAGGAAATGATAAAAAGGTATCCCTGTGACTTACAAAGAATGGAAGCCATGACCTGTGCAGAAAGGTTGCTGTCAAAACAACAGTTCGTAAAGAGTGGTCTGGGAATTCCTAGGGGTCCCTAAGGTGTAAGTTATTTTCATAAGAATTCCAAGACTTTATTTTCCTTTTTGATTCTCATTCTCTCATGAGTGTAGAGTTTTCCAGTGTACACCACATATGACATTGCTATAGACTGACTCCAGAATCAAGGATGAGAACCCAGGTGTCTTTAATTAAACCATCAAAGCTATTTGCAAAACTGTATAACGATGCCACTCTTGAAGTATGCTTGTTTTTGAAAATAATCACTTTTCATAAAATCTTATTTATGTTAACATGTAATGAGTTTGTTTTTAAATGAATTAAAAAATATATTTTTAAAATTTCACTTTGAGAACTGCTGTTGCAAAATGCCCCGGTGTCTTAGCTCTGGTTCCCTGGGAAACAGAATCTGAGATGGAAATTTATGAGTTTTATTAGGAAGAGCTCTTGGGAATATTATCCTAAAGGGAATGAGGAAACAGAATTGGGTGAAGTTGAATTGTGAGGTAGTTGTAATCCCTTGGGGAGCTCTAAAATTGGGGTGGTTCTCAGACTTCTAAATGGAGGCACAGGGAGCCACGTCACCCTCAGGCAGGCAGTGTAACCTTGCACAATGCAGCTCCCTTCATCCAAGAGCAATTCCTACACAGGAACTTAGCTGTGAGTTGTCAGCAATCAAAATCCTTAGCAGTTGGCAGCACAAGTGCTTCAGTCCTGAGGGAGAATCTTGACAATTCTGAGGCACAGCTTACACTCGAGAGTTCCCATAGTGATCAGGCTGAAATGACTCATGGCAGGACTATGGCTGAGATCACACTCTTGACTTATTCCTCTTTCCTGTCCTGCCTCCTCTATGCCCTTACCCTTCTTATTGGGAGCACTTATTTAATAAATTACTTGCATAGGAATCCTCATCTCTAGTCGACTTCTGGGAAACACAAGCTTAAAGAACATCCACAATAGATCTCAATTCCATCCCCCAATCTTTACCCCAAAATGTTTCTCCCTAGTCTGCTGCTTTTTTAGCAAATGGTTTACCAGCTAGTTCCTCTCCATAAAAATGTAGGAATTATTCTTTATTTCTCTCTTCCTCATCTTTCATATCAGCAAACTTCAAATGAAGTTTGAAATCTAGAATGGAATTCTCCAGGCAGCAGTTCATGTGTATCTAGTACAGAGGCATTTATCATGATTTGATTAATGATTTTTTTCAGATGTTATCTCAGTCGCTTACTACCTTATTTCTACTCCTTAAGATAAGAAAAAAAATTAACTTACAGAGACCAGATCATCTTCTTGCTGACAGGTGATCAGTAACACACCCTTCCTAAAGTTGAGATTCAGGTTTACTCTGAGGCATTTATCTCACACAATAAGCACAGTCACTTGTACTGGGAAAGGCCAAAAGAGTCGACTAAGGTGGTCCTCATTGACCATAAGTGAAATTGAAATTTTTTCTGTTGACTCCAAAGCTATGTAAAGAAACGGGCAAAGGAGTTAAATGAAGTATGAGCCAAATAAACACAAAAAAATAAATCAGAGAGAAAAATGAGTTTAGACAAAAAAGTCTTGCAAATAAAATTATTTACACAGGTTTTCTTACGTAAGTAATACATGAACTTTGAAAACGATTTTTAAAAAGAAATCTACAAAAATTAGGTGTGCTGGCAAAACTAGATTTCACACAAAATGTATTAAGGAAGAGACTATAAAATGACAATACTCATTTAGATATTTAAGTCTTAGTAAATTGTTTTTTCATAAGAATCAGTCCCTGCTATTTACAATTGTAAGTCACTGTTGATCTGCAAAAACAGCTAATAAAACTCAAAATTGGTAGTCATGCTTGTATTTCACAACTCTAGTTTAGAGAAAGATTTAAGTTTTGTGAAATCAGCTTCAAAAAAATATGGTTGACAGTCAAACATTCAACACCAAAGTTCCCTTTTGATCACAATCCCCAGTCCTGATCTCCTTTTTTAAAAGGCACTAATAGGGGCCAGCCCTGTGGCTGAGTGGTTAAAGTTCCATGTGCTCCGCTTTGGCAGCCTGGAGTTCAGGGGTTCAGATCCCGGGTGCAGACCTACTCCACTCATCAGCCATGCTGTGGAGGCATCCCACATACAAAGTAGAGGAAGATTGGCAGAGATATTAGCTCAGGGCTAATCTTCCTCAAGAAAAAAAAAAAGGCACTAATAGTTTTCTATATATCAAGAATATATCATGGCATAATAAAAAATTACCTTATGTAACAGTTGGTTCATGTGTTGTTAGAATGAGATCCTTTTAGAGGAACTCTGTTATTACTGCTCCGGGTCTGAGACCACTGCTTCCAACTAAAACTAGACAGGTTGTGTAAGTCCAGGGTTGTGGAAGGAATAAAATGATCTGTAGGTTAAGAGTGAAGCAATTTTACACAATTGCTTATGACCACCTCAAGAAAATAAAAGGCTTTCTCATTTCAAAATACTGTAATAATTAATAATGATGTTAACGCTTATGCTGGTTGAATGGAAACTTGCAAGGCAAGAAAACTAATTTCACAGAGTCAGTTTCTCAAGAAAATATTCTGTCCACAATGACTCTAAACGTATTACTAATTAGTTAGCTATGAGTCCAACAAATCCATTGTCAAATAATACAAGACACACTGAGATAGTAGGGATCATTAGTAGACTATGATGCCGTAAAATAGTAAATAAAATCACATTTGATTTGTCACAGTGCCATCTGACTTTCAAACTTTTAATAATTACATATTTACTTGAATCTAAGACATAATTGGTTGAAAGATGACTCATTTTAAGAAATACTAAAATGTAAAAAAAAAAGGATAAGATTGATAAAACATGATAATTTTATTTTATATTGTAAATAGAACTATCACTTCTATTTACTAATTTTCTGAAAATGTTTTTGATAAAATAGTTCAGCATCTGATAGGGCATATGAACCCATTATAATGTTTTTTCTATGGGCATAGGCTTCCCCTAGCCTATAAATTCTGAGAAATAACTACAAAAACACTATTAAGACAAGACATCCATATTACCATTGCGTATCGTTAACTTTTAAGATTTATTTTACACGCTACCAATCTTTTTTTTAAGGCATAAAAATTACAAGTAAAGCTAAAAACCCCCTTTGATCAACACCCTCAATCCTAATCTCCTGCCAGAAACACCACTAACAAATAATTTGGTATGTTTCCTCCTAGTTCATTTTAAATAGTTTACATACATATCTCAATAATAAAAACATAGTTCTGTTCTTTATGAATGATTTCATTCCAATTTACATGAATGTCATTACACAATACGTTTCATCCGGATCTTGATTTTTTTCATTCAACATTGTTTTAGATAACTACCCACGTACAAAAGACAGATTTAATCCATTGCTTTTAACTGTGTATATTGTTCCATTACTTGAATACATCACATTTTATTCATCCATTACCCCATTGATATTTATGTTGTTTTCAATTAAAATATATATATTTCTTATGCATACCTGTGAGTTTCTTCAGGATGTATATCCATTAAGTGAAACTGCAGAGTCCTTTTGTCTTTTAAGAAATGCTTCCCTGCCTCAAAGTCATAGACAGCATCCTGTACTTCTTTCCAAGAATTTCAGAGCTTGGCTTTTACAAGTTCAAATCCTTCGGAATTCTGTTTCTTTATATGTTGTAAGGTTGTATGTAATTTTATTTTCCCCAATATGGAGAGTCAAATACTCCAATTTTTACAGAGTAGGCTGTCATTTCCCTACTGATTCATGATGTCATGTCTAATATACAGCACGTTCACATATATTCATTGGCTTATTTCTAGGCATTTTGTTCTGTAAAATCTGTTTACTTACCTATTCGTGCACTAACCACACACAGTATTTAATGACCATAACTTTATAACATGTGTAGTATATGGTAGAAGGTGTGTCCTCTCTGTTCTTTTTCAAAATAGTCTCGGCAATCCATAGACTTCTATTTCACACAAATTTTAGAATCATTTTGTAAAGATCCTAGAAAATTCTTGTTAGATGTTTGGAACTATATTAAGTCTATAGATTAATTTTGGGATAACTGATATTTTTATGATAGAGTTTTTACATCTACATAAATGATATTTCTCTCCACTTATTCAAGTCTTAGGCCCTCTAATAAAGCTTCAGAATTTTTCCATAAAGATCTTGTTCATTTTTTTGAGTTTATGCCAAGATATTTCAAAAGTTAAGTAAAGCATGGGTTGAACTTAAGACAAGGCCTTCCCTCATTTAGTACTCTCGGCGTTTCTCACCTGTATGACCTCTCTTATGTATAGAAAGAGATGCTCTTTGAGAGAAGGCTTTCCCACATTCATTACATTCAAAGGGTTTCTCACCAGTATGACTTCTCATATGTATAATAAGTAACGAGCACTGAGAGAAGGCTTTTCCACATTTATTACATTCATATGGTTTCTCCCCTGTATGACTTCTCACATGAAGAGTAAGGGATGAGATTCGAGAGAAGGCCTTACCACATTCATTACATTTAAATGGTTTCTCTCCAGTATGAATTTTTTCATGCTCAAGGAGATTTTGTCTCTGACAGAAAGCTTTTCCACACTGATTACAATGGTAAGGTTTCTCTCCAGTGTGAATTTTCTCATGTTCAGTGAGATTCGATTTCTGACTAAAGGCTTTCCCACATACTGTACATGCATAGGGTTTCTCCCCAGTATGAATTCTCTGGTGTCGAATGAGGTTTGACATCTGAATAAAAGCTTTCCCACATTCATTACATTCATAAGGTTTTTCTCCAGTATGAATTTTCTGATGTGTAATGAGATTTTCTTTCCGGCTGAAGGCTTTCCCACATTCGTTACATTCATAGGGTTTCTCAGATGTATGATTTCTCATATGTACAGTAAGGGATGAACTTTGAGAGAATGCTTTCCCACATTCACTACATATGTAGGGTTTCTCACCTGTATGACTTCTCATATGTATAATAAACACTGAACATTGAGAGAAGGCTTTTCCACATTTATTACATTTATAAGGTTTCTCTCCTGTGTGACTTCTCATGTGTAGAGTAACAGATGACATTCGCGAAAAAGCTCTACCACATTCATTGCATGCATAAGGTTTCTCCCCAGTATGAATTTTCTCATGCTCAATAAGATTCTGCTTTTGGCTGAAGGATTTTCTACATTCCTTACATTCATAGGGTTTTTCTCCAGTATGAATTCTCTCATGTTCAATGAGATTTGACTTCTGACTGAAGGCTTTCCAACAATCTTTACATGCATACGGCTTCTCCCCAGTATGAATTCTCTGGTGTCTAATAAGGTTTGACATCTGAATGAAAGCTTTTCCACATTCATCACACTTATATGGTTTTTCCCCAGTATGAATTTTTTGATGTGTAATAAGATTTTCCTTTCTGCTGAAGGCTTTTCCACAGTCCTTACATTCATAGGGTTTCTCTCCAGCATGAATTCTCTCATGCCTGATGAGGTCAAATTTATGGCTGAAATCTTGTCCACACTGATTACACTTAAAGGGGGTTACGACATGGGATGAACAATGGTAAAATGGTTTCCCATACTTATTACATTCATAATTTTTCTCTGTTACACAGGCCTTCTCATAATTAAGTAAGTCTAAATTATCTTCCAAACCCTTATCAAGTGAGTCACATTCACAGAAGCTTTGTCTTGAAGTAACAATGTCTGAGCTCAGAGGAAATATTTTTGTAACTTTTTTATATTCAATGACATTTTCCTTGACCAGAGTTTTCTTGGAGATGGATGTGACTTTCCTCACAAGTGTTTCCTGTTGCTTCTTGATGTGCTCATCAACTTCCCAAACTTCTAAAATGGAGGACCAAAAATTATTACTTTTGAATTTTCCTACTACTATACTATTAATAACATTTCAGAAATTTGCTAATGTGAGGTTGATCTTTGATGCTGGCTCTAGTCTCCCACTATGAAAGAAATCCAAGTGCAAATGTCCCCAGTTCCTAAGGTTAGAGAAGTTAACTCCTATAGAAAATATTATAGAGAAAAAACTGACATTTATAGGCCCAAAGTAGCTTTCACTGATTTTAAAAGTGTACTTATACAATGAAGAAATCAGTAAAATTAATAGAATAATTAAGATGAAATGGCGAATACATAAATGACTGGATAGGGAGTCAAACGACTAGAGGATAAAATTAACTTCTGTGACTTAATACAATGGATTGAATGTATATGTTTAATTTCTCCTCCTGCTTAAAATTCCATTAAAATGACAGTAAAAGAATAAAGGGTCAAACCTATAAGGACAAAGGAAATGGGAGTGTAAAAGAGCGTGAATAAGAGCTTTCAACAAAATACTGGAAGATAAAAGGACTATAGGGAACTGTTAACTGATAACAAAGCTAAGAATTCAAAGTACTATGAAGATGAAAATGTCAAGCAACAAAGAGATTTGACCACAAAATACTGGACAAGCTCAAAAATTAGAGGATTCAGAAAATGAACCATAGAGGCTCTAGACTTAGTAACAAGTAAAGTAGATGCAGAGGAAAGGCCTTATACTAAAAAATGAGAGATTATGTGAACATTTATATATTGATTAGTGAGCCCTCGAATCAGTTTCTGTTCCTTAATCTCATGAATACGGGCATGTACCTGCAGGTAGGATATGGGAAGATTAAAAATAAAAGTCCTATAGAACTGGCATCTGGGATTCCACAAAAAACTCCTGGGTTCTAATTCAACCATTCTACAGTACATCTCCTACTCAACAAGCATTAAAAATTGTGAGCTACAAGATTTTCAGAATTTCCCTTTTATCTTTCCATGCATCAAAATGAGGTAAACTAGAAGAGTGACATCAGCATCATGGTGGAGTGAACTTGCCCAGGACTTTCTCCCCTTCAACATATAAGAAAAAGGGACAACAATACTCCAACAAAACATATCCTAACAACACAAAAACCTCAGCGAGGCAGGAAGCCACATGATGGCGGGTGCAGAGGCTGTAGCCCTCCTTCGGAGGAGCTGGAACAGTGTTTAAGAGAGAACTTCGCTCCCTCCCCTAAAGACTGTGGTGGCTGCCACTGGCAGCTCTGTGAGGGAAGGAGTGGAGGAGGGATTGTGCGTTTGCAGGATCAGCCAGGACTTCCTAGGGCCCTTGCAGCCTAGAGGGAAGCCCTCTAATGGGGGAAAGCTTTCACGCAGAGTGACCTCATCAAACCAAGACCCCCGGAGACCAGATAGGGAGAGGTGATCCAGAAACCTGGGACTGCACCCAGGAGAAGGCATGCTCCCTTGACCCACACAGGGCCGCACCATCTCAGCTGAAGGCAGAGGGCTCAGAATATGCGGCTCTCGACCCCCACCCAGTGGTGACAGGCTATAATTATGACCGAATAATATCACAATGGGAAAGTCCCGGCCTTCCAACATCAGACACTACATTAAATCTCCAGTCCAGAGAGAAAACGACAAGCACCCAGAACTCAGTCCTGAGGATACAGAAAAACGTAAGCTAAACAACAATGAATTCAAAATAGCTATCATCAAAAAACTCAGTGAGGTAAAAGAGAATATAGAGAAACAATTCAATGAGGTCAGGAGCTACTTCACAAAAGAGATTGAAACTATAAAGAAGAATCAATCAGAAATATTACAGATGAAAGACACAATGAGATAAAACAAAATACAGATTCCCTGAATGCTCGTGTGGACACCATAAAGGAGTGAATCAGCATAATCGAAGACAGACATGTTGAAATGCTCCAGAGAGAGGAGAGAGAGCTAAGACTAAAAAGAAATGAAGACAGTCTCTGAGAAATATCTGACTCAATGAGGAAATGCAACATAAGAATTATAGGTGTTCAAGAAGGTGAAGAGAAGGAGAGTGGAACAGAAAGCTTGTTCAAAGAAATCAAAGCAGAGAACTTCCCAAATCTAGGGAATGAGAGGGAAATATGTGTGGAGGAAGCTTCCAGATCTCCTAGATTTGTCCACGTAAAAAGACCTACTGCAAGACATATAGTAGTAAAAATGGCAAAAATGAATGCCAAAGAAAGAATACTCAGGGCAGCAAGGCAGAAGAAAATAACCTACAAAGGAACCCCATCAGGCTTTCAGCAGATTTCTCTGCAGAAACCTTACAAGCTAGGAGAGAATGGAATGACATATTCAAAACTTTAAAAGATAAAAATCTTCAGCCAAGAATACTCTATGCAGCAAAAACATCCTTCAGATATGAGGGAGAAATTAAATCTTTTCCAGACAAACAAAAGCTAAGGGACTTCATAGCCACAAGACTCCCCCACCTACAAGAAATCCTCAAGAAAGGCCTCATACCTGAAAAAATAAAAAAAGGGAGAAAGGGGTCACAAAACACAGAGTAAGGGGAATCAGAATAGGATAGCAACTATTCAACTATAGCATTAGGCTAAAGGGAAGGAAAACACCAAAAACAAAGACAATTTTGTCACTTTAACCACAAACTCACAAAGCAAGTTGGAATAAGATATGAGAACAATAACTTAGGAGGGGAGGAGGAAAGGGACTGAATCAATTTAGACTAAGGAAATAAGAGGCCATCAGAAAATGGACTATGTTATACACGAGAGTTGGAATACAAACTTCAGGGTAGCCACTAAACTAAAAAGCAGAACAGAGACACAAAAAATAAATAAGGAAAAAGCAAAGAAACACATCATAAAAAACTACATAATTCAATGGGCAGACCAAAACACACAGGACGAAAAACAAAGGAAATGTAGGACAACCGGAAAATGAGTGATATAATGACAGCATTAAGCCCTCATACATCAATAACCACTCTCAATGTAAATGGATTGAATTCTCCAGTGAAAAGACACAGAGTGGTGAGATGGATTAAAGAGAAGATCCACCAATTTGCTGCCTCCAGGAAAAACATCTCAGCTCCAATGACAAATACAGGCTCAGAGTGAAGGAGGGAAGACGATACTCCAAGCTAATGGCAAACAAAAGAAAGCAGGTGTCACAATCCTTATATCAGATAAAGTAGACTTCAAGATAAGGCAGGTAAGGAGAGACACAGAGGGACATTATATAATGATCAAAGGGACACTCTATCAAGAAGAAACAACGCTTATAAATATCTATGCACCCAACACAGGAGCACCAAAGTTCACAAAGCAACTATTAACAAACCTAAAAGAAGCTATTAATAACAACACAATAATAGTAGGGGACCTCAACACCCCAATCACATCCTTGGACAGATCATCCAGACAGAAAATCAACAAGGAAACAATGGAATTAAACGAAAACCTAAAACAGTTGGACTTAATCATCATATATAGAACCTCCATCCAAAAACAGCAGAAGACAGATTCTTCTCAAGTGCACATAGAACATTCTCAAGGATAGACCATATGTTGGCAAACAAGGCAAGCCTCTATAAATTTTAAAAAATTGAAATAATAACAAGCATCTTCTCCAATCGTAATGCTGTAAAGTTAGAAATTAATTACAAGAAAAAAGCTGAGAAAGGGACAAAGATGTGGAGACTAAACAATATGCTATTGAACAAGCAATGGATCACTGAAGAAATTAAAGGAAAAATCAAAAAATATCTGGAGACAAATGAAATGATAACATGCCATACCAACTCATATGGGATACAGCAAAAGCTGTATTAAGAGAGAAATTCATTGCAATATAGGCACGCCTTAACAAACAAGAAAAATTCCAAATAAGCAATCTCAGATTACACCTAACTGAATTAGAAAAAGAACAAACAAAGCCCAAAGTCAGCAGAAGAGAAATAATAAAAATCAGAGCAGAAATAAATGCTATTAAAACAAAACAGGCAGTAGAAAGGATCAATGAAACAAAGAGCTGGTTCTTTGAGAAGAGAAATAAAATTGACAAACCCCTAGCCAGACTTACAGAAAAAAAAGAGAGAAAGCTCAAATAAAGAAAATCAGAAATGAAAGAGGAGAAATAACAACAGACTCCACAGAAATACAATGGATTATAATAGAATGCTATGAAAAACTATATGCCAACAAAATGGATAAACTAGAGGAAACGGATAAATTCTTAGACTCTTACAACCTCCCAAAGCTGAGTCAAGAAGAAACAGACAATCTGAATAGACCAATCACAAGGAAAGAGATTGAAACAGGAATCAAAAGCATCCCAAAGAATAAAACCTCAGGACCAGACGGCTTTCCTGGGAAATTCTACCAAACTTTCAGAGAGGATTTAATACCTATCCTTCTCAAGCTATTCCAAAAAATTAGGGAAGATGGGACACTTCCTAACACATTCTATGAGGCCAACATCACTCTGATACAAAAGCCTGACAAGGACAACACAAAAAAGGAGAACTACAGGCCAATATTGCTGATGAACATAGATGCAAAAATTCTCAACAAAATTTTGGCAACCTGAATTCTGCGATACATCAAAAGGATCATACATCATGATCAAGTGGGATTCATACCAGGGACACAGGGATGGTTCAACATCCGCAAATCAATCAACGTGATACACCACATCAACAAACTGAGGAATAAAAACCACATGATCATCTCAATAGATGCAGAGAAAGCATTTGACAAAATCCAACAGCCATTTATGAGAAAAACTCTTAACAAAATGGGGATAGGAGGAAATTACCTCAACAGAATAAAGGCCATATATGACAGACCCACAGCCAACATGAGAGTCAATGGCAAAAGCTGAGCGCCATCCCCCGGAGAACAGGAACAAAACAAGGATGCCCACTCTGACCACTCTTATTCAACATAGTACTGGAGGTTTTGGCCAGAGCAATTAGGCAAGAGAAAGGAATAAAAGGAATCCAAATAGGGAGTGAAGAAGTGAAACTCTTGCTGTTTGTAGACGACATGATCTTATAGATAGAAAATCCAAAAAAATCCAGCAGAAAACTAATAGAAATAATTAACAACTACAGTAAAGTTGCAGGGTACAGAGTCAACTTACAAAAATCAGTTGCTTTCCTATACTCCAATAATGAAGTTAGAGATCTCAAGAATACAATTCCATGTGGCTGGCCCTGTGGCCGAGTGGTTAAGTTTGCACACTCTGCTTCGGCAGCTCAGAGTTTCGCTGGTTCAAATCCTGGGAGCAGACATGGCACCGTTCATCAAGCCATGCTGAGGCGGCATCCCACGTGCAACAACTGGAAGGACCCACAACTGAAAATACACAACTATGTACCAGGGGGCTTTGAGGAGAAAAAGGAAAAAAAAAATCTAAAAAAACCCAATCCATTTGCAATTGCAACTAAAAGAATATAGTGCCTAGGAATAAATTTAACCAAGGAGGTGAAGGACTTATACAATGAAAACTATAAGACATTCCTGAGAGAAAATGACAATCACTTAAAGAGATGGAAAGAGATTCCTTGCTCATGGAGTGGAAGAACAGACAGAGTTAAAATATCCATACTACCCAAAACAATCTACAGATTCAATGCAATCCCTATCAGAATCCCAATGACATTCTTGAGGGAAATAGAACAAAGAATACTAAAATTCATATGGGGCAATCAAAGACCCTGAATTGCTAAGGCAATCCTGAGAAAAAAGAACAAAGCTGGAGGTATCACAATCCCTGACTTCAAAATGTCCTACAAAGCCATAGTGACCAAAACAGCATGGTAATGGTACAAAAACAGGCACACAGATCAATGGACAGAACTGAAAGCCCAGAAATAAAACCACACATTTATGGACAGCTATTCTTTGATGAAGGTGGTATGAACATACCTGGAGAAAGGACAGTCCCCTCAATAAATGGTGTTGGGAAAATTGGAAAGCCACACGCAAAAGAATGAAGGTAGATCATTATCTCACACCATACACAAAAATAAACTCAAAATGGATCAAAGACTTGAAGGTACGTCCTGAAACTATAAAACTCCTGAAAGATAATATTGGCAGTACACTCTTTGACATCGAACTAAACAGGATCTTTTCAAATACCATGTCCTCTCTGACGAGGGAAACAAAAGAAAAAATAAACAAGTAGGACTTCATCAGACTAAAGAGCTTCTGCAAGGCAAAAGAAACTAGGATCAGAAAAAGAGACAACCCACCAACTGGGAGAAAATATTTGTAAATCATATATCTGAGAAGGGGTTAATCTCCATAATACATAAGGAACTCACACAACTGAACAATAAGAAAGCAAACAACTTGATCAAAAATTGGGCAGAGGAGATGAACAGACATTTTTCCAAAGAAGATACAGATGGCCAATAAACACATGAAAAGATGTTCAACATCACTAATCATCAGGGAAATGCAAATCAAAACTACACTAAGATACCACCTTATACCTGTTAAAATGGCTATAATCACTAAGACTGAAAATAACAAATGTTGGAGAGGGTTTGGAGAGAAGGGAACCGTCGTACACTGCTGGTGGGAATGCAAACTGGTGCAGCCACTATGGAAATCAGTATGGAGATTCCTCAAAAAAACTAAAAATAGAACTACCATATGATCCAGCTATGTCACTACTGGGTATCTACCCAAACCACCTGAAATCAACAATCCAAAGTAACACGCACCCCTATGTTCAATGCAGCACTAGTCACAATAGCCCTGGCATGGAAGCAATCCAAGTGTCCATTGACTGATGACTGGATAAAGAAGATGTGGCGTATATATACAATGAAATAGTATTCAGCCAGTAAAAAAGACAAATTCATCCCATTTGCAATAACATGGAAGGACCTAGAGGGAATTATGCTAAGAGAAATAAGCCAGTCTGAGAAAGACAAACACCAGATGATTTCACTCATATGTGGAATATAAACACATACAAAGACAGAGAAAACAGTTCAGTGGTTACCAGGGGAAGGGGGGTAAGGGGTGGGCACAGGGGGTGAAGGGGAGCACTTACATGGTGACAGACAAGAAATAATGTACAACTGAAATCTTACATTGATGTAAACTATTATGGAAATTAAAAAAATGAGGTAAACTAATGACACTGATGGATTTCTTATTTAAACGAATATTTTGAGAGTCTTATTAAAGTTAAAAATATATAGAAAACAAAGCAAACAGAAAAATTGGGCAAGTAGTAACTGTAAGAATGACAAAAAGTTATATAAGGATATGTAATTAATAGTCATTTCTTGGCTCAGTAGTAATGATATACAGATTTTCCTTGACTTATGATGGTGTAACATCCCAATAAACCCATTGTAAGTTGAAAATATTGTAAGTTGAAAATGCATTTAATACATCTAACCTACCCAACATCATAGCTTAGCCTAGCCTACCCTAAACACTAATGTAATTGTGCTCAGGACAACTACATTAGCTTACACTTGGGCAAAATCATGTAAAGCAAAACCTATTTTACAATAAAGTGCTGAATATCTCATGTAATTTATTGAATACTGTACTAAAAGTGAAAAACAGAATGGCTGTACAGGTGCAGAATGGTTGTAAGTGTACTGGTTGTGAGCTGCGGCTCACTGCCGCTGCCCAGCATCAGGAGAGAGGATCATAATGCATATTGATAACCCGGGAAAAGATCAAAATTCAAAATTTGAAGTATGGTTTCTAAGGAACGTGTATGTCTTTCACATCATCATAAAGTCAAAAAGTCCTAAGCTAAAACATGCATAAGTCTAGGACCATGTGTATCAACTATCAGAACTAAGTAAGCAGTGAAAACTGATTTAGCCAAAAATTGATATATCTATATTTAGAAAAAAATGAAAGGAGAAGCGGCACTGGTAGTATAACTTACACTAGTGGACTTACAGGTAGACATTTTTCTTAATTTTTGAATGATTTTTATATTCTTTAAATATATACACACACACTCCTCCCATGCTTTTTTACAAAAAAGGTAGCATATTCTAAATGCTGCTCTGCACATTATTATTATTTTTTTTTTTTGCTGAGGAAGATTCAGCCTGAGCTAACATGTTGCCAATATTCTTTTTTTTGTAGGTGAGCTGCCACAACAGCATGGCCACTGACGGATGAGCGGTGTAGGTCCGCATCCAGGAACTGAACGTGGGCTGCCCAATGCAGAGCATGCCAAAATTAACCACTAGGCCACCAGGGCTGGCCTGCACATTGACTTTTTTTTCACGTATATATTCTGAATGGAAGCATGATATCTCTGATTGGTTTTACAGTTTTGACACTGGAAGCATGTAAATATCTTACATAATGAAAAAAATTAAATCAAAAAAGGAGAAAAAAAGCCAGAACAACTCCTAAAAATGGAAAACAAATGGAGACAAGTAAATCTACATATCAAGTTAGGGCCATAATCACACAGAGAAGAATTACTTCAAATGGCTTTAAATGTAGTACTTTGAGTATATCCTAAAGGAGAAAAAAATACTTGCAGAGAAATCTTAAACTACATTCAATAGTCTTTTTGTTAGTAGTAATATTGGCATTATTGTTAATTTGGAACTAATATATATATAAAGAAACTTAGAGAAAGAAAGGGAGGAAGACAGATCAGTTTTGACCCCCAAGGGACATATAGCAAAGTCTGGAAGCTCTGGAGACATTTTTGATTGTCACAACTTGGGGAAGGGGGGATATAAGGGGATGGTACTACTAGCATCAATGAGTAGAGGCCAGGGATGCTGCTAAACATCCTACAGCGCACAGGACAGTCCCCCACAACAAAGAATTATCTGGCCCAAAAATGTCAGCAGTGCCAAGGTTGAGAAATATATGTAGATTAAACAAATAAACATTTTAACGCAATAAGAAGTCAAGATCTTCAGTATAAAAGATACGAATACAAAGCAAAAAAGGTAAGAAACAACCTTATATTCTTTAATTTTAATTGGATGTGTCAGTATAAACACATATCTTTTAAAAAAATATATATTTTCAAAAAAGTGCATTTCTCCTAATTCTGTCCACTTAAAACCTCTAGAAGCAATAATAACCCAGTACTAATGAGCAACCATAGTGCCTAGATTGTGGTCTCCAAATATCATTTCCTACTTAAGGAAGCAAGGGTTTTTTTTTTGTTTTATTTTTTTAAGATTTTATTTTTTTCCTTTTGCTCCCCAAAGCCCCCTGGTACATAGTTGTATATTCTTCGTTGTGGGTCCTTCTAGTTGTGGCATGTGGGACGCTGCCTCAGTGTGGTTTGATGAGCAGTGCCATGTCCGCACCCAGGATTCGAACTGACAAAACACTGGGCCTCCTGCAGCAGAGCACGCGAACTTAACCACTCGGCCATGGGGCCAGTCCCAGGAAGCAAGGGTTTTTAAAGAAATAGGTATTTCCATGTCTGGAGCAGGAAGTTTGCAAAATTAGTCAAAGAATCCTCTGGCTAAAGAGACAATTTGAGCATTAAAATAAATGATATTTATTAAGAATACATTTATATGCACTACATATTATTTATTTTGATGCTCAAATTATACAAATTTATAACAATTTAACTTGGCAAACTGGAGATTGCTAGGGCACCAATCATTATTCTAGAAGTTTTTGAAGGAAAAAAATGAAGTATTTCTCTTTCTTGGCCTATAAAAACTGTATTTCAGGGTAATCAAATAGTTGATGAAAGAGTTCCTTTTTTTTTTTTTAAAGATTTTATTTTTTCCTTTTTCTCCCCAAAGCCCCCCGGTACATAGTTGTGTATTCTTCGTTGTGGGTTCTTCTAGTTGTGGCATGTGGGACGCTGCCTCAGCATGGTCTGATGAGCAGTGCCATGTCCGCGCCCAGGATTCGAACTAACGAAACACTGGGCCGCCTGCAGCGGAGCGCGCGAACTTAACCACTCGGCCACGGGGCCAGCCCCTAGTTCCTTTTTTTTTTTTTTGAGGAAGATTAGCCGTGAGCTAACATCTGCCACCAATCCTCCTCTTTTTACTGAGGAAGACTGGCCCTGAGCTAACATCTGTGCCCATCTTCTTCTACTTTATATGTGGGACACCTGCCACAGCATGGCTTGCCAAGCGGTGCCATGTCAGCACCCAGGATCTGAACCGGCGAACCCTGGGCCGCCAAAGCAGAACATGTGCACTTAACCGCTGTGCTACCGGGCTGGCCCCAAAGAGTTCTTCCTTATGGGAGAATTTCAGCTAAGAAAAGCAGAAGGAACCTTTAATAAAATAATGGATCCGGGCAAGGATCAACGATGGTTGCTAAATCCCTTAAGGGAAAGGTTGAAAAGAATCTTTAAAACAGTTGGATTCTGATGCACAACACATGAATCTAGCAATCAATATCAATGTTTCTAAAAGTGGGACAAGACGACAGGATAAAAAGCACTAAGATGTACATGGCACCATCTATGAAGAAAGAATTGAACTTGAATATAATAAAGCCAGATTATGGGAAAAATGGGATAAAGGAATATGTTAACACCATGAGGAAGCAAACTGCCAAATCCAGAATGTAGGACATTCTAGAACCAGGGTTGGCAAATAACAGCTGTAGCCTGTTTTGGTAGAGCCTTTGCACTAAGAATGTTTTTTAGATTTTTAAAGGGTTGTTAGAGAGGAAGAGAGAGAAAGAATATGTAACCAAGATTTTACATAGCCCACAAAGCCTATTTATTGACTGGCCCTTAAAAGAGAAAAACTGCTGACCCTTGTTCTAGAAGATAAACGACCTGGATTCTATGCAAATAAAACAGTGGGGAAAAAAGGAGTTCAGGGAGGAGGAGGAGGAACTCTATGACTTAAAACAGACCTGAGAGCTACATCAACCAAGTGCAATGTGTTGATCTGTATTTGGATCCTGATTCAAATCAACAACCATAAAAAGACATTCTGAAACAATCGAGGAAATATGAGCAGAGACTAAGTATAAGATGATAAGAAATTAGTATTAATGTTATTAGATGTGATAGCAATATTGTGGTTATTTTTAAAAATTTTATCCGTTAGAGATACATACAATAGTATTTAAAGTTGAAATGTAGACTAGTTCAGCAAAAAAAACCAAAACAAAACTGGAGGAGACAAATAAAACAAGTCTAGCAAAATGCTGATCATTGTTGAAGTTAAGTGATGAATACATGAGGATTCCTTATACTATTCTAATTTTGTGAATGCTTGAAAATCACTATAATAAAATAATTTTTTTTGAGGAAGATTAGCCCTGAGCTAACATCTGCTGCCAATCCTCCTCTTTTTGCTGAGGGAGACTGGCCCTGAGGGAACATCCATGCCCATCTTCCTTCACTTTATATGTGGGACCCTGCCACAGCTTGGCTTGCCAAGCGGTGCACAGGTGCACACCCGGGATCTGAACCAGTGAACCCTGGGCTGCCGAAGCAGAATGTGTGAACTTAGCCACTTTAACACCGGGCCGGCCCCTAAAAATTTTTTTTAAGTATAAGCATATTTGAGCCAGCCCTGATGGCCTAGTAGTTAAAGTTCTGTGTACTCTCAATGCTTTGGTGAGTTTGTTTGGTTTCCCAGTTGCAGAACCATGCTACCCATCTGTCAGTTGCCACACCATGCTGTGGTGGTGGCTCACATAGAAGATCTAGAAGGACTTACAACTAGGATATACAACCATGCACTGAGGCTTTGGGGAGGAAAACAAAAAAAAGAGGAAGATTGGCAACAGACGTTAGCTCAGGGAAAACCTTTCCCTTCAAAAAAAAAAAAAAAGAATACCACATCCTCCATGAGCTTTAAAAAAATAAAGTATAAGCACATTTATTTAGAAATATGGAGGTCAATACCAAAAGAAACAGCTAAATAAGTTGAAAATAATTGCCTAAACAAGGTAAAATGTGAGGTCAGAATGGGGGCCTGCTATAAGCCTTGTATTCCATGGCTTTTTAAAACAAGTAGATCTATAACTTTGAGAAAAATTAAAACCGCATATTGAAAAGGAAAGCAATGATGTAAAAGAGAAATAAGAACAGTAGCATTAGGTTTAGAGAAGCAAATTATAACCCAACTTCTCATTACTTTTGCCTAGATTAACTGCCATATGATCCTGAGAAGTCTATCTCTTGTCAATTCTGCAGACCACAGGAAAATTAATTTTCTTTTCTTTTTTTTTGAGGAAGATTAGCCCTGAGCTAACTACTGCCAATCCTCCTCTTTTTCCAAGACTGGCCCTGAGCCAACATCTGCGCACATCTTCCTCTACTTTATATGTGGGACGCCCACCACAGCATGGCGTGACAAGTGGTGCCATATCCGCACCTGGGATCCAAACTGGCAACCCCAGGCCGCCAAGAAGTGGAATGTTCGAACTTAACTGCTGCACCACCAGGCCGGCCCTGAAAATTAATTTTCATAACGTTGTAATTCCCCTATTTCTGCATAAAAACACTTGAAGCTTGGCCTGTCCAAACTAAACCCAACCCCAAATTGGTAATAACTATGGAGATAGCTCCAGCTCTCCACCTAACTGCAGTTCATTCTAATACGTGCTTAAAGAACATGGCGCACAAGCATCCAATGGAAATATCAGAAGGCAAACCATCTTTGTTCAAGATCTGATTCACTGCAGTGCTCTAAGAGCAGGTCCTATCATTTTATTCTATGTTCATTTCTAGACAATGAAATGGTCCTTACCACCAAATCCTCTTGTGTTTTGCTTCTATTCGTTCTTCATGGCTGACATACTGTCACCCAAAATCATAACATTCTTTTCCACATTATTAGCTCTACACTGGTTTTCTGTACTTCTAGAGTTCCATCAACTGTGGGTAACTTAAAATGCAGATAATTGGACATTTTTTAAGCTTTATATTCAGTTATCTTATAAGCCCCTGCTTGTAACTGACCATTGCAATCTTGCTGCCACCAGGCACAAGGCAAAACTATAGCTTTAGTGATTAAAAAAGGTAAAAAATTAAACTAAATCACCAAGAAAATCTTAAAACTATAAAAAATGGCATGAAGGCTGGCAAAGTTCAGAACTCCCTGACTCTACACAGATAACCCATCCTCCATTTCACTAATCCCTTACAGGCCTCCTTCCTCCAGTCGGGCTACACTTCTAATTTTACCCCACAAACATGTCATACTGATTTTACTGTCCAAACTTTCGTTCTGTTTTTCTCACTTTCTGTAAGTCTTAAGAATCTACATGGGCCGGCCCAGTGGCACAGCGGTTAAGTTCACATGTTCCTCTTCTCGGCGGCCCGGGGTTCGCCAGTTCAGATCCTGGGTGCGGACACGGCATCGCTTGGCAAAAGCCATGCTGTGGTAGGCATCCCACATATAAAGTGGAGGAAGATAGGCATGGATGTTAGCTCAGGGCTGGTCTTCCTCAGCAAAAACAGGAGGATTGGCAGAAGCTCAGGGCTAATCTTCCTCAAAAACAAAAACAACAAACAAACAAACAAACAAAAGAATCTACAGATCTTACAGGAAAACAGCTTTAACGCCAAGCTCTCTTAAAAAATAAAAATAAAAAAACTGGGGCCAGCCCGGTGGTGCAGCGGTTAAGTGCGCACATTCTGCTTCTTGGCAGCCTGGGGTCCGCCGGTTCGGATCCCAGGTGCGGACATGGCAACGCTTGGCAAGCTGCTAATCTTCCTCAATAAATAAATAAATAAATAAAAATAAGAAAACTTTCTTAATCTACAGCCCTTCTAACTTTTAAAGTATTCTCTGTCTGATTCACTCATTTACTTGATAAATGCTTCCCATGCAATTTAAGATTTCAACAATATTTTATGTGGCCCTTCCCTGTCTTTTTATTTTAACCTGAATTCTTCTGCATTTACTTTGAAGGTCTGCAAGGAAATGTTTTAAAACAACAAAAGCCATAAGGAACATCTCTCTAAATATAGCTCTACATTAATCAATTCATGAATGATTTACATGAAGAATAAGACATAGACTTTCTCTTGATAGGTTAATAATTTAAATCTCAGGTATCAAAGTGTGAAAACATATAAGACAGTATATGTTTTCAGACTCCAAATCACGTGGGTAGACATACAGTTAAAAGTTAGCTCAGAGAGGGGGGCGATAATGACTGGAAGTGTTGGGGACCATTTACAATCACGCGCTGCATAGCGATGTTTTGGCCAATGATGAACTGCATATGCAACAGCGGTCCCATAAGATTAGAACCATAGAGCCTAGGTGCGTAGTAGGCTACACCATCTAGGTTTGTGTAAGTGCACTCTATGATGTTCGCACAACAACAAAATTACATAACGACGCATTTCTCAGAACATGTCCTTCATTAAGTGACACATGCCTGTACTGGAAATTAGGCTCCAAATTAAATAACCGCTAAAACCAGGATAGGTAAGAGCACTCATGATTAAAGGCAAAGATGTGAAGAGTTTCATAATACTGGAGACATTAAAGATACATATTCCAGTGTTGTCATTTCTGGAGTCAAATACCAACTTAAAGGCATGAACACACCTATATCATGAAGGTACTTAAAGGAAAAAGAGTCTATATGTAATTTAGAACTGTTTTGGATACTGTCCAGTGAGGGCTGGAGAAAAAAGTCATGTAAAAGACATTTCATAAAGAAAGCAGAAATAAACAATAAACAGGAACTGAGGATAAATCAGAATCTTTTACAGAGGAGCAAAGAAGGAAGACATTTCCAAGAAGTGTGATCCAGGGGATCAAATACAGCATAGAGGACTTCCTGTTTCAACACGGTCAAATTAAACATCTCTGTCTCCTTTCCTCTCTGCAAACATGAAGAAACAGAAAAAGAAAATCATTCATCTTCAGTGAAACTAAAAGCCAGCTAAACTCCAATTCTAGAATATAAGGAAAGACCAGAGGACAGACTGGATCAAGTAAGGAAGAAACCCAGAGACGGTATCTGTTCTTTCTTATGTCAGACAGACAGCACAGTGAGCAGAGTTCTCTAAAACAGAAGGCACACCCTGTGGGAATGAATGAGCCATTTTTTGCAACAATGGGATCCAGATGTTTTGAGACTGGTGGCAGGAACATAATGGTCTCCACCTGGCCCTGTGAAAAGGCAGGGAAGGCAGAGCTAAACAGGGAGATGCAAATAGTCATTATTCTGGTAAGCAGTCTGTTGGCGCAGTAGAGTAGAAGAGATACTGGAGTGCTAGAGGAAGCATGCAACTGATAGTCTCTAATTCGGGAAAAGTAAAGGGCAGACCAACACTCAACACAAAACATTGTTGATAAAGGAGGTCAATATGAGCAACAAAGGCTTCCTACTAGCTCAGAGCATTTTTCTGGACAATCTTCAATACTCTCCTCCTGTAAATAGTGGGTCCAGCAAGAAACAACTTCATTCAAAGATGAGTAATGATAATTGTAAAAGGAACCAGCATCAGATCTATACAATGACGCTATAAGAACCAAAAAACATGAATATACAAGTTGAAAAGAAAAACTGATACTCATTGATCAATAGGCCTCATAAAGTTCTAACGCTTTAAAGAAAAAGGAACCTGTGAGCAACCAAGGCAAACAAACCAAGTGACCTGCAAGGGGACAATCAGGCCTCAGGTTTCTCCAAACAACATTCAAAGCCAGGAGACAGTAGAGGATGTCCCAAGTCTTCAAGGAACTGTCTACAGAAACCTCCAGGAAAGAAAGTATGGCTTAAAAAAGTTATACACAACCAAGAATCAGGCAAATATAAAGGTTAAAAAAAAAAATGTCTTCCTATGTGCAAAACGTTAGGGACTCTTGTTCCCACTAAATTATAAGCTCTATGAAGACAGGACTTTGTTTGTACATTGTTATATGCCCAGGCCCAGAACAGTATTTTATCTTTATTGTTAATGATTATAAGTGTGGTTTCCCTTCCTTTATATCTTCTAGATTGTTGAACTATAAATGAAAGTCATTGATTTTTACTTGTTAATTTAATATCCCACCATCTTAGTGGATTCTCTTACTATCTGTTGTGTTTTTTCAGTTGATTCTCTTGTCTTTTCCAGGGATACAATCCTATCATCTTAAAATAAGATGGTTTTATAGGTTCCCTGACAATTCTTATAGTACTGATTTTTTTTATCTTGTCTAATACTAAGATATAAACTTAATAAGAAAAGTATAAAAGCTATAAAGGGAAAACTTGGAAAGCATTTCTGAAGGACACAAAAGTAGATAGATCTGAACAATGACAGAGCATGTTCTTGGATAGAAAACCTTGACATTATAAAGATGTCAAATCTCCAAAAGTTAACATTCCCAATAGAGTCCAACAGGTTTTTTCCTCTGGAAATAGAGAGTCGAATCTAAAATTCTTTTAGTAAAATAACAATCAAGAGCAGCCAGCACAACTCCAAAAAAGAAGTGCATGCAACTGGAAAAGAAAGGGCTGAGTGTCAAGGATAAGAGGGAGACAGACTCTTCAATTTATCTTTTGGACGATTTATATTTTTTAACCAAGCGCGCATAGATTTTATTTTCAAAAAATTAAAGTAATAGAAGGTGGGAATAAGCTTGAAGGAGGCATCAATTTCTAAGCCAGACACTTTTAAAGCTACATGGAATTGTGAGGAGTGTGAAGCATAACGGGAAATCCGAGTACTGTTATAAAACATATCTGAGCGTTTTCAAAATGGCAAGAAATTAAAAGGAATCTAGTGCGAAACAAATATGTTTCTAAAATACTACTCATCCATGAAATACTGAATGCATAAGAAAACAAAACTATGAATACAAAGGAAAGAGAGGGTTTAAGGATCATAGAGAGGGACAAAAGTCCTGAAAGTAAGGCTGTAAATGAATTAGGGAAGGTTGGCACCCTGAAATCAGATGGAGCTACTGGCCCTCTAAAATTTGAAAATTGTTCCAATATAGAAAGAAAACAGAATCTGGAAATGTCACAGTAATCCAATTCACTAATACCATTTGTCACTCTAGAAGACTAGGGCCTTTAAGAAAATCCTGGAAAATGTGAAATGGTATTAACTTCCTGAACAAATGTCATGTAGCTTTCTTATCTGGAACTGCCTTTTCACTTATTCACCTGGACAGTGGCTCCCAAACATTTCTTCCTCTACCACCCATGGTTCCTCTTCCTGCTCCAACTTGAAGATCACATCTGGTTTGGTGACTTCATAGCCTATTACAGGAAACAGCAAAAGACTTAGATGTTAAAGCTGGAGACAACCATCCAGATTTTGGGCTGAGTCCTGGAGGACTGAGGGCTTTTGAAGAATGAGGATGGAGGAACTTCCACAGTGACACAAAGTAACTAGCCTTTACCTGAAGGCGATACATACAATCATGTGAAGAAAGGGAAGACTACATTCATCTGGCAAGTTAGAAGTCTCCCTACATTTCAAAAATGGAGGGGCCGACCCTGTGGCCGAGTGGTTAAGTTTGCACACTCTGCTTTGGCGGCCCAGGGTCTCACCAGTTCGAATCCTGGGTGTAGACATGGCGCCGCTCATTAAGCCACGCTGAGGTGGCATCCCACATAGCACAACCAGAGGCACTCATAACCAGAATATACAACTATGTACTGGGGGGCTTTGGGGAGAAGAATAAAAAAAAAAGAAGACTGGCAACAGTTGTTAGCTCAGGGGCCAATCTTAAAAAAAAAAGGAAAGGAATTCCATGTCAAATTGCAAAGCTACCCTTACCCACTGTGACTAAGTTGCTGTAGTTCTCCAGCATCACGTCCCGGTACAAGTTCCTCTGAGCAGGTTTCAATTGCTGCCATTCCTCCTGGGTGAGGTCCACGGCCACATCCTTAAATGTCACTGTTTCCTGTAAAAATACAACCCTAATTAATACGAAGTCATCAAAATTAGACGCAGTGGTCAAAACATGTAAGAACTCATTTAGCTAGTCTCCAGGGATCAAAGTTCATTTAAAACCTTATACTAAGTCTTCCTATTTATCTAATCTTGTGTTATACTGTGGGGGAGAACAAACCATAGTAGAAATATCCCACAAGATTCTGTTAATTATTGAGTCAGCAAACCTATGCATTCATCATCTAATATGCAGGAAACTGGAGATAGTGGTCACTGACTTGTACTGCTGTGTGACAGAGATGTAAGAGTCAGACCTGACTCACAGGTAAGTGGCTCAGAATCTGTCCAAGTGATCATGTAATCTAGTGAGAAAGGGAACACGGAAAAAGTGGGGAGGGAAAGAGAAATAAGGCAGGAGGAAAGAGGAGAGGTATGAAAATTTGAAGGCCAAACTTGAAATTTCTATAGGACTTCCAGAGGGAAATGTCCACTATGCAGTTAGAGGTATGAAGAAAGGAGATGAGAATTTGTTAGCCATCAACCTAAAATTGAGAGCTGAATCCACAGCTGAAGGATATGGGTGGTTGTAGAGAATACCCATGGTAGGTCAAGGACAGATTCAACAGTTAAGCATCAAAGAAAGGGACTCAGGTCTTTGTTTCCTGTTTGTTTTATTTACAATCAGAATTAAAACCATGAGAGTGGTGTAAGAGAAGCCAAGAAACAAGTCACAAATTCCTGGAAAAGCATGTCACCTGATCACATATATCTCTTTCTCCTCACCGAAAAACTTCAATATCCGAATAAGGAAATAAGGAAAAATCCTGGTTTGCCAAGGCTTTAAGAAAGAAAAGCACCCATATATCCCACATTTGGGAGAATTTATTCAAGCAATGGTACAAATGAGATAGATAAAATGGGAAATACAAATGGAAATCACCAAAGCCTGAATTGCAATTAATGTTTCTGAGACACTACCTCTAAGATCTATGGTCATTACTACCATCACCATCATCACCACTGTCATCTACTGAGGACTTACTATGTGCCAGGCACTGATATAATTTCTTTAGAAATATTAACTTTTTAAATTCCCCTAATAAGGCTATGAAGTAGCTACTATTATTATCCATTTAAAAGGTAAGGAAACTGGGGCTAAGAATAACACTCCCATGGTCATAAAGCTACTAGGTGGTACAGCTGGATTCCAGTCCAAGCAGTGTGTCTGCAGAGCCCATGTTCTTATCCGCACGCTATACTTCTTCTCCAATCGGCAGCAGGCCTAAGAGTCCCACAGATATCCCCCGATTCAAGACAGACAACTGGATACACAAGAACTCCTGCACCCAAAACCTTTCTTGCTGAGGTTGAAAGCATGCGAAATCACCAATGATGGGAAACTATAGGACAAATATCATGACAAGAAAATCAAAAGCCAATGATGATGGCACATCATCCTGACTTGGAGAAGCGGAGACAAGTCTGAGGAAGCAGAGGGGAGGAAGACTGAAGACAAAACCAGATGTGGAAAACTAGCCTCTGGGGCAATGGTTTCACTAATCAGTTTATGAACCAAGGCAGACATAAAACATTTTAGCTGTTACTACCCAATATTGTATTAACCAAATTAGTCAAATGAACTTACAAAAACCAGTATTCAAGATTTTAGGTGAAAAGTGAAGGAACAATCATTAAAATAACTTTGGAGCAAACTGGTATGTAGGACTTCATAAATGTAAAAACAAATTAATTTTACACTTAAAAAAGCTATAATATATGTGTGTGTATATATCCATTTCCAAAAACAGATACCTCGATCATTTTAATAAATTAGACAAACACTTGTCAAGCCTAAATCAAGAAAAATAATAAAATACAATGATCCAAACTTGGGATATAAAAAGAACACGTAATAAAAGGTAGAATGGTAAGTTTTACAAAGTTATGAGAGGAGTTTTACTTCTAGGATAGCAGTGTGAGGTGTTCCATGGATCTATTTCCCAGAAAAACTAGCATAACCAGAGAAAAGTGTTTTGTTTTGTTTTTTTTAATTTAAGTCTCTGAAAATTGTCCTAAGGGCATATAGCAATGAAGAACAATTTATTCAAGAAAATCTAGTAAAATTTGGTAAAAACTGTGATAGTCTGTGGCATTTGTGCCACATCAGCTCCCTCCCTCTCCTCACTCCAGCTCAGCTTGACAAACACTCTACTCTGGGTGGGTGCAGCTAAGGAGACAGGGCTCTTTCTCCTCTTAGCACCAACCAGCGGATATGGCATCTCACTAGGAGGGGCAGATGTTCAGCATTCTCATTCCATTCAACTTCAACCTGAAGATGCTAAGTTCCCAGTGAATGTGGCCAAGATGTCAAAGGCTCCTTTCCTCTAGAGTGGAGGTTCTACCCAAGGTGTGGCAGTTCAAGAATCCTGGAACACCAAGAGCCCTTATCCCAGTTCACTTTTAGGGCAGAGGTTCTACAGCAAAACAGGCAAATCAAGAAGACCACAGGCTACCATCTCACCAAGAGCCCAGAGTGGTGACTCAAAGATTTTATCCAGAAGAGGCAGTCTACAAGCACAAAAACTCTCCCGAAAGGAAATGAACTTATTTGAAACAGAGTGAGCAAAGTTCCAGCTTAAGGGAGCACTTGGAAACACATTTGGTGGTAAGCAGTTCAGAGGAGATGGGTAGCTCCTTTCAAGTAAGAACAAGGTAAAGCATAGGCCAGTCCACCAGCGAGAACCAGGGAAAAAGACAACAAAAAACAAGTTGGAAGAAACCTCAAAGACTTGCCTCATAAACTACCCCTGCCTGAGTTTAATTGGACCACACTGTGAGCAATGTATGCCCCAGGTATTGTCAAAAAAAATAGAGCAATTAGTTGGCATTTAGTGGATGTGATAAAAGAGAGATGGAGGAAACAAATGGTCAAAGAGAGCCCTGCTAAAACCACTTTCATCCTAGAGTGACTTTGTACATGTCCAAGGCTACGCCCTCTGAGGTGTGACACCAAAAGCATAACACTACAGGGGAAACAGACTTCACTAAAATAATCTAGGCCAGTCACAATACAAATAAACTAAGCAACAATAAAAACAAGTCTTAGAAAATGGGGGAGGGAATCAGCACCCAGAGTTGCAACAATATATAGCCCAAATGCTCAGTTTTTAACAAAAAGTTACAACAGTCAAAGAATCAGGAAAGGGAAACCCATACGCTGGGAAAAAAAGCAGGCAACAGAAATTGCCAGTGAGAGGGCTCAGATGTCAGATTTAACATACTAACACTTCAAAGCAGCCATTATAGACACAGAAATAAAGGAAACTATGATTAAAGAAAGGTATAATGACAATGTGTCATCAAATAGAGAAAATCAATAAGTAGACAGCAGTTATAAAAAAGAGCCAAATAGAAATTCTGAAATTGAGAAGTACAACCACCAAAGTGAAAAATTCACTAGATATGCTCAGAAGATCTGAATTGGCAGAAGAAAGAATTAGAAAACTAGAAGATACACTGATAGAGTACATAATCTGAGGACCAAAGGGGGAAAAGAATGAGGAAAAATAAACAGAGCCTCAGAGAAACGTGGGCCATCAAGTGCACCAATATATACACGGTGGAAGTACTAGAAGAAGAGAAAGGTGTAGAGAAAACATTTGAAGAAATAATGGCTGACACTTCCCAAATTCGATGAAAAACATTAATTTATGAATCCAAGAAACTAAGAGAGCTCCAAGTATAATAAACACAAAGAGACCCACACCCAGATATATCATAGCAAAAATGCTGAAACCCAGAGACAAAGAGAAAATCTTCAAAGTAAAGTTGTGCCAGAGTAAGGCAAATGAGACCAGATGGTAACTCCAACCCATATGAACAAATGAGGAAGATCAGAAATGATAAATAAGGATAATATAACAAATGTTATAAATATATATTTGCTCTCCTTTATCTTCTCAGCTTTTTCAATAGATGTAACATTAAATAAAGTAACAATTATAATAATGTATTGAGTTTGTAACATATAGATGTAATATGAATAACAATTACAGCACAAAACAGGGACAGAGAGAACAGAGTTACATAGGAGTAATCTTTCTATCTCTTACTGGAATTTAGCATAAATCTGAAGAAGATCCTGATAAGTTAAGATGTGTATGATAAGCACTAAAGCAATCACATAGAAAATACAGTGAAAAGTCACTAAGGAAGTTAAAATTTTACACTAGAAAAAATTCACCTAATCATAAGAAAGCAGTAAAGGAGAAACAAAAAAGACATGAGACATGGAAAACAAAAAGGAAAACGGCAGACGTAAATCCAGCCATTCTAGTGTTAACACTAGTAGTAAACAGATTAAACAATCCAAAAAAAAAAAAGGCAGACATTGTCAGACTGGAGAGAAAAACAAGATCCAAATATATGGTGTCTACAGGAAACATACTTTAAGTTCAAACATAAAAATAAGTTGAAAGTAAAATGATAGAAAAAGATGTATCATGCAAAGAACAAGCATAAGAAAGCTGGAGTGGATACACCAATATTAGACAAAATAGACTTTAAAACAAAACTGTTACTAGAGATAAAGGACATTTTCTAATGACAAAAGGGTCAATCTTGTAGGAAGGTTATAAACATATATGCATCTAACAGAATTTCAAAATACTTGAAGCAAACACTGACACAACTGAAGGGAGAAATTGGTAAATCAACAACAATAGCTGGAAACTTCAAACATCACTCTCAATAACAGATAGAACAACTAGACAGATGATCAGCAAGGAAATAGAAGATTTGAACATTATAAACCAACTAGGCCTAACAGATATATATAGAACACTCCACCCAACAACAGAATACACACTCTTTTCAAGTGTACATCAAACACTCTCCAAGATAGACAATATGTTAGGCTATATAGGAAACCTTAATAAATTTAAAAGGATTGAAACTATACAAAGTATGTTCTCTGATTACAACGGAGACAAATCAGAAATTAGTAACAGA